GTGTAGCCACATGTGGCTGTTTGGCTGGTTGAGTGGCTAGTTCACTAGTGGCTTCAGAACTGATTGGACACTTCAGTTCTAGTGGACGTCTATAGAGGCAATATGCTATTTCCTGTCTTATCTGACCTTTGCTTAATGAGTCCCAACATTCTGTTAGCTTTTTTGACTGCCGCTGCACGTTGAGTGGATGTTTTCAGAGAACTGTCCACAATGACTCCAAGCTCTTTCTCTCTTGAGTGGCAACAGCTAATTTAGTCACTATCATTTTGTATGTCTAGTTGGGATTGTTTTGCAATGTGCATGACTTTGCATTTATTAACATTGAATTTCATCTGTCATTTTGTTGCCCAGTTACCCAGTTTCTTGCGAGCCCTCGGTTAAATCCAAAGTGGACTGTGTGCAAATTTTGCCATTTTTATGTTATGCCAATACCACTTTTATCAACCACACTTGTAATTTAATGAAACATTGTATCAGATTACTTCAACAGAATCGATTTTTCCATAAAAGCAGGCTGCTTTGCATCAATTACGTTGCCCTCTGTTAAGTCTTTATTAGAATCCCATTTCAGTTGTTCCACTGTCTTTGCTTGGGTCAGTGTCAAGCTGATAACTACCCAGATCACGCTGTTGAGTCTTTTTTTAAAATTGTCACCACATTAGCTTTCCTCCGGTTTTCTGTGAATTGCCCCAGATAAGCGCCCCAGCCCCAGCCCTGAGCCTCCTCCTGAACCCTAATTCCCTCCCAGACCCTGTGCCCCAGCTCTGAGCCCACTCCTTCACCCTAACTCTGACCCAGATGCCACACCCTCACCTACTCCCATCAGTCCGCTTCTGCACTCCAAGCCCATTAACCCCAGCCTGGAGCCTCCTCCTGAACTCCAGACGCCTCTGCCCCATCCCGCAGCCGGCACACCCAGCCAGAGCCCTCCTCTCTCCCTTACTCTGACCGCCCCTCCTTCCCCACACGCCAGATCCCTCGGACCCAACCCCACCACAGCTCATCCGTATGCAGAATAAATGTTATGGAGGTGATATGTTGCATGTCATCTTCCTATTGATGCACATCACAACATTTATTCTGTGCATAGACATTACAAAATTAGAGAGA